TTCTGCCAATAGATCCCTTTTCCCTAAATCTTACACTCTGAACCTTAAGGTGTGTTATGGATGGAGATTTCCTCTGATCCGGAAGGAGATTGTCTTAGTTGTAAAGTTAAAACATATGATTGTATATGTAGCTATACATTCAAGGGCAATTCACCAGCCCTGCATGTTATTGGACAATGAGTGGAAGGCAGAGAAATCCCACACAGGTACAGGAAGGACATGCAGACTGCACACAGAAAGACCCCAGGCAAACCAGTATTAAAACCCATGGATCCTCGTTGCTTTGAGAGTGTGTCAGTGCTAATCACTGCACTGTGATGGCCAAAGATATTTAGCTAAATTGCGCTGCTTTTGCAGAAAAAAATGTAGCAGCTGTCTGGGAACAGCTTTTTTGGAATGACGGCAATTTGAATCTCGCCTCAAAATTATGCAAATTAAATGATTTCAAAGGAATAGTTTGGAAGAGATAATCGGGCCTCATGAAGCCTTTGATTCAGGCCATCTTGGCAGTTCACAACGTGACAGCTTCGTTCCCGCTCGCCTTTTTCTTCCGAGCTGAGGCTTTATGGGATTAGCTGGCTTTGATGGTCGTGTTGGTCTGCAGCAATCATACAGGTCTAACAGGATTACTGGTGACTCGTTATGATACTAGGACAGCCACAGTGCCTGCTTGATGTTACTGTGTGACCTCACAATCACCTTTTATCAAAATCCTGTTTGTGTTACCTTCACTTCTGTACTCATCCTGTCTGTCTGCCAGTTCTGTCATTGTCTAACGTGCTGTAGTTTTGTTACTGGATGGAAGATTATAGGCAGATTAGCCCTTTTGTTTCAGTAGGGGATTGTGTGTGTGCCCATAGAGTTTAAAATTCAGTTTTGGACAGAATGAAAAAGTCCATAAATCTTCAGCGATGTCATTTTTTTTCTAAAAATCAAGTTTTAACAAATTTGATGTGACAAGCAATTTGTTTGAATATATTGGAATACCCCTATGCCTGTGTGCTGTTAGACAAGGTTGAACACTCTGCTCATTTGTGATTCCACCTCTGCTGACTCACTCTGGTGGATAGCTTACAGGTGAGCACATAGAATTGTTGAAGGGAAGGTAAAATATAAAAAACAGCCTAATCTTTTTTTGTAACACTGTCTATGGTGTAGAGCACAAAACACATCCACACAACACTTCCCAGATGTGAGGGTCTCCTGATTGTCTGCTCAGGAGGGCTTTGCTTGCTCGTCTCCAGCATAGCCACAGCAAAACAATGTAACTTTTCTGCGTTATCTTGCTGATAGGTCAAGAGGGCATGCGATAGGTCAAGCTGATAGTGAGCACCCTCTGCTGGATCACGAGGCAAACTACTTCAGATGGTCTGATTCGAACAGGTCATTATGGTTAAAATATGAACTTTACCCCTCACATTCAAATAAATGGTTGAAGTGGAATAAAAAGTTACAGTCCTATTGCCTCCATACCCAGTCAGATGTATATGAAGACAATAAGACTTTGCCTCCAGTGGTTGGCTCAGTCTCAAAAGGATACGCCAGCAATTGTTGTTGCAACATTGATGCAGATAACAAGTATTCGCCTCCCTTTCAAAACCTGGGGCCAACATTTCACGCATGCAACTAGAGCACAGATGGTGTCAGGTGTGACATGTTAGCAGCGGCAATTGCAACCTTGGACCTCAAGTGGGGATAAGAGGCGGGCTCCAAATGTCTGGCATCATCTGTGTGTGAATCCACATTACCCGATTTATTTCATTTTCACACTTGTAATCTTCATCCCCAACTGACCCCTGCATCACTTGAGACAGTGTATCAGACGTCACATAGCTTCGTCTGGGCCCTCAAAAAGTTTTATACACATTTTTCATGTATGCTGTATAGCACTCTCTAAGACCTGTAAAAAGACTCTGGTGTCAAGTCACAGGAGTTTCCTTTAATTGAGACTATGTTCCCTGTGGCGCTGGAAGACTGCACATCCAATCTCACATTAGCAGTTGCCAAAGACTTTGGTTTGTAGACACCTGACTTATTCAGCAGCTTTTAGCAAGTTAGCCTTTAGTTGCTGGGTCAGTTTAGCAGAACTCTGGAATGTAGTATGAAAGATAAATCTTTCTGCAATTGCTACAAATCAAATCCGCTCTTTTAAATTAGTATCTTCTCCTTATTAATGGTAGATTAGACTCAGAGGTGAGAGCCGGCCCCCAAACTGAAACAAAAAATAAATTCTATTCAAAGTTTAATTAATAACATAGTCTACACTATCAGTAAATTCTCCAGGAGATTTAACACAAACAACAGACATAAATAGTTGAATATTTGTGCAGAATAACTGGAAAGATTAATGGTATAAATATCAATGTAATAGTGTGAGTACACTAATTTGAAACTAAAATCAAAGCATGGCAATGAAATTAAACTACTTAATTACACAAATGACTTTCACTTAGCCTTCACTTTGTTTCTGTTCCCCCTCTGCTTGGGGTGTATTATATCGCTTCTTACTTGAAAGAGGCCCTTAAAGGCCTTTGGTGAAGCAGTAAACGTCCCTGAAAGAGTGAAGCTGTATTAAAGTGAGTGATAGTGGGAACAGTTAGGTTTATATTGCCAGCTAGCCCTTTATGAGACTGTGTTGAATACTCTGTGGCAGGAACCCTAAGGAAAGCAGAAGAGAGTTGAGACTAATGCCAGAAGAATCACATTAAAATTATCGTTTTGCTCGTTTAGTGAACATTATTTGGCTATCTCTATGTGTATATTTTCCCCTGTTGTTCCTAAAATGCATCGCCTATCACAGAGCAGGTTGAAGTTAAACGTGCTACTCGGAAGCACTTTCCACTTTGATGTCATAAGTTTACACCATTAGTACTTTGCCGAACAGTGGTGAGAGTCACACCAGCTGATTGAACAGCAGGGCAGTGTCAGGAGGATTAAAGGAGGATAAATTACTTGAGAAAAGAGTGGCAGTTGTCAACTTGGGTAAAAATAAATAATTGAGGCAATTGGCGAAGAGAGGAAGTTCCCCCCACAGCGAGAATGTTAAGTGTTTACTAGATGAAGATCTTGCCGTGCAGCTCCTCTGTCTGCCCCATGCCTCTCTTACTTACACTCTGCCATTACACCTAATCAGCCAATCACGACTGGATTCTGTCTATAAAGCCTGATTGGCTGATTACCCAAGCTCATCAACACACCACCCGGTGCGCCTCCATACACACTAAGTAACGCAGGCAAGCACATATACGCTCTGTGTGTGTGTATGTGTATGTGTGTGTGTGTGTGTGTGTGTGTGTGTGATCATTTGCCTAATCTATGCATGCATTTTTTACACCTATTTGCATTTGTAAAACGTCTGTGTGGGAAACATATCTGCAAGTCCACAAAGTTACAAAGATTAAAAGTTTAGCTTGAACTGTAAAGCATCTTAAAAATGGTTTGACTTTGCAATTGAGCCTTACATATTGTATCATGTGTGTATGTGTGTGTTCCACTTGGGTGGAAAGCTGCATATTTGTTCTTACTGAAGAATAAATGGTTGCATGTTACTCTGCCGTTTATGATGTAGAACACAAAACACTTCCCCATGCAGCTCCTCAAATGTTTTGGTGTGATCATTGTCTGCCTTGCTTGCTAGTGCAGCAAAACAACAGAGAATTACAGGTCAAGCTGATAGTGAATGTCATGTGCTGAGTCAAAAGGTAAAGGTCTGATGAACTTCTAGACTGTATATTCTTAATTTGAGCTAAAGTTCAAATGTTACCCCCACCTCTATGTTTGAGTGAATGTACAAAGGTTGAATTAATAGATTATGAGGCCTGTTTCATTATACTAAATCCTGATCATCAGATGGACGTTGCAAGAGACACAGATTTCACACAAAACAGAGTTTGACACTTGTAACTAAGTAAACTGTTTCCTTTAGATAGAATTGTCTACCTTTAGTGAAGAGTCTGGTTATGGCCAATATATGTATATTTCCACAGCTGCATATACAGTGTCATCACACACAACAATCATTCTTCCTGTCATTATTGCTCCACCCTTTCTTCCCTCCGTTCATCCCCCCTTTCCAATATCATTTGTATATTCCCATGCAGAGCACGGCAACAAGTAGGAGTATAGCAGGGCCCCAAGGCAGATCAATGCCAATATTTATTTTATGTTCAATTACAAGGGCAGAACCGCAGTCCAGAGAAAGCAGTGATGAAAGTAAACGTCCTCTCAAAGAGGGAGATAGAAAACCACATTAGATTTGCAGCCTGCAGCCTGAGCTTCAAGAGCAAAGAATATGAGTACAAGCGCAGGTTATGGGATTCCAGAAGAGTGAGCCACAGGCATAACCAGGGGCTGAAGCCTCCAGAAAGCAAAGTGAAATCCTGTTGCTTTCATTGGTATATCCCTGACTATCTTTTACCCTCTTTTCCCTTGCTTTTCTTTTGATGATTTAAAAAGTCAATTCATCTTTGACTTGAGGAGTTCCACCTATACTCTCATATTGAACTGTCATAGTCAGTCCCAGAGTTTCAGTGAAAGCTATATGTATGTATAAGTCTGTACTGTTTATCACCATCCAGGCTCCTTCTGTATGAAGTTTCCACCTTTTTGTTTTCCTTTTCACATGATCATGTTCAAATCATCTAATATTTGCAATATAAATTACCATGCACATAATCCATGGCATTGTCTGGAGTGCTAATTCTCATCTCATTCGACCTCAGCAGACTTTCTGTAGACCTTAAACATGGGGCCATAACTTTTTAACAGCATTAAGGATACAGAAACAATGATATACTTAACTTCTTTTGTATAAAGACAACATTAGCAAAGTTTAACTGACTTTCTATTGATTTCGCACAGTGTATAGTTTCCTTTGCTGAGCTGCAGCATTTCTTTATTATAGCTGAATAGTCCCTGCTCTGTGTTGGATTATAATTGCAAAACAAATCAACATCATGAATCACAACATCTCTTTTGTGTCTCTGTCATCCCTATCACAGATTTATTCCTGACAACTGAAGGCCCAGCATTTGAGATCTGGCTCAGCAAGGTAAGAAGTCTTCTTTGACTTTGTTGTTTCCCCAACTTCTTCTTTTTTCTCTAAATCCTGTCTTTGAAAGTTCCTGTTCAGGGCAGCCATGCGTGAGTCAAGCATGATTGCTGTGTGCATCATCATTTTGTAGCAATCAAGTCAAATATGTTTTGCTAGTGCTGGTATTTCCTCTCTTTGAAATAATATATCACATTCCTCCTATAAAGTTTACAATATTACAGAAACATTGCTGCGGTTATTACTTTCAATAGGACCAAAAACACAAAGCTGTAGTAACAAAACCAGTGATGTTTGAAAAACCTGTGGTTAAAATCCCCAATAGATAATAATGGGAGGTTGAAACCAGCAAAACACATCTTCGTCTGTATCTTCTACGTATACTGTATACGCCTACTCTTTTTTGTATTTTTCATTTGTTGTTGCGTGTTAAAAGCGTCATGAACCCCCTCACCCACTTGCTGTGAATCCAGTGGGGGATCCTGGCTCGCATCGGATTCCGCGGCTTCCTGCAGTCTTTATAATGGGGGCCAGGTGAAGAAAGACCACAGATAATCCGGAGGCTCTCACTCTTTGTTTACACACATGCACCTCCTCCAGAGGAAGTGCAGAGAATCTCCGGAGTACAGTGCATGTCTGAAAGCAGCAACACAGATCAGAGGGGTGGCTCCTGGGTAAAGCACGTCCACTTGCTCACTGTGAATATTTTAGTCATTTTCCTGCTGTCCTCTTACATGGCCTCACATGTTCCAGATGTTTATGAGTGGGCAAGCAAGCAACATGTTGGAAAATGTTGGGAGTAACTGACTCTGACATACACATACAGTGTCTGGAAGATTTCAGGAAAATGTTCAGACTTGAATGCATGTCTGAAAGCAGATTGTGTTTTCCATGAAGCAGACATAGTTAGCTAATGATCATGTTTGTTTAGATTACAGTTATCTGGTCCCGGCAATTGATTGCCACTAACTACTGCACCAATCTGAAGGTCAAGTGTGCTTTTGTTAAAACGCAACCAAGGTATTCTCATAGTGATCAGAGAGGGATGACCCACAATCACTTCATTAATTTCCATATTGCAGCACACTGATCTACAAAGCTTTGCTGGTGTTGGGGGTGCAGGACTGTTGGCACTGCTGCAGGACTAGTTAATATTCTGGGTGAGCAGAGAGGGGAGACCGTGGCTCAGGGTTTTTGTCGAAGGGGCCTATTTGAAATTCAGCAGGTTGAGGCACCAGGCGAACAGTAGTCTATCTTATCACAGAGAAAGGGAAGGGGAGGAGGTGAGGAAGAAGAGAGAAACAGAGGGAGATTGAAGGATTTGGCAGAGACAGAATGTGTGTAAGGTGGAGAGAGAGAGAGAGACTGAGCAGGAGCAAAACAGAGCAAATAAACTGCCATGCCCAAAGACCAGGAGGATGCATGATGGGTGGCAAGTATGTTGATCAGGTGAGGAAAAGAAGCAAGAGAATTTCTAGTGGAAAACACAAAGATTATTCTGGATCCATCCAGTCTGCTGTTTAAAGAGTTTTAAAAAAACTAATTTGGCTGAAAGCCCAAACTCATTTGTTTTTATAGCCATGTAAGGAGCACAGCTTTAAGGATGGCAGTGTCGGTCTGCCAGTCGGTCATGACAGCACTTTCGTCCAGACTGAAATGCTCAACTCTGTGATGAATTGCCAAAAAACTTGGTAGCGATGTCCCTGGGGTTGACTGTATATAAAAATAGACAACGGGTCACCACCTCGTGTTACTATCCAGAAATGAAGCCAAAATATCCCAGATATAAATGCTGCCATCTTACGGCAAAGACGTCTTTTGGAGCCAAAGTTGTAGTTTTTCTTGGCAAATAAATTGCCAGTCAATCTCAACTGTCAATCATGACGTTTCACCCTGTTTCATCAAATAAGTAATTCAAACAAAAAGTACAAGGAACATGACCATTAGAACACTCATCAGTTTGATAAGAATGACCTAAACTAACAACAAAGAAACATATTTAAAATGTAGTTTGCCTCCTGATTTGGTACATGTTCTGTTTGCTAACATGGAGGAGGGTTTATGACTTGTACTGCAGCCAGCCACCAGGTGGTGATCAGGATCACTTTTGGGAAGCTATCTTGTCATCCATTTTAATATACAGTCTACGGTGCACAGATGATGAATCCCGCTGATAATTCTTCAGCTCCACCATTAGCATGCTTCTTGAGATTCTTTGTGAAATATGTATTGCACAAATTGACGTAAAACGTAGATTCAGAGTCCATGGAGGAAGAAATTGCAACAACTTTATTGATCCTTTGACTTTTACTCCATAGTGATCTAGCATTTTTATATTCAATGAATAACCATGAGGTGTTCATGAGGATAATTTGTATATATTTTTGAAAAAGTTTGTCTGCTGATCTTTCATCCAGTGCCTCCTTTAGCTCAAAATGTATGATCATCCATTACATTAGAGAATGACGTCCTCCATCTTGTCTAGTATTATCACTCTGCGCATCCATGCCGACGTTAGCATTTAGCTCAGAGTGCCATTGAGCTTCAGCTGCTAATCTGGCGTTAGACTGTTTGCATTATTTGATAGTTTTTAAGAGCGGGATTGAGTGCTTTGCTATTTTGTCATAAACTACTGAACTTGCCTGAAACAGTACAAATCTTTTATCTAGTGACTGTGTAATTTGATGCAGATTTCTATCTATAGCCAGAATAAAAACATCAAAAATGTGTATTATTAAAATTGTTCAACCTTGGCACTCATTCTTTGGGTGCTTGTTGTTTCATCTGTAATCCTTTGTTTGTCTGACATAAAGCAAAACAAAAAATGTAGATTATGCCTCAGTAAAAACAGGATGCTATTTGACATCAGTGTTTTTTATTATATGTGACCATATTTCAATGGAAGATCTGTAAGTTTCTCTCCCTGACTGTGTGTGAAGCATTCTTTTGTTTTTCTTCCTGTCATTTATTTATAATAATTTACTTATTGTTCAATCTGTTATTAGTTCTTCTCTCTGTTGGAAGGGTCAATGTCGCAGGCAGTGTGTCTTGTAATTGTGTGCAGTGTTCCAGCTGCTAATTGACTGATAACGTTTTATTGTTTGGTGAAGGGAAGCAGGGGGATTTGGGAGCAAGACAGTGAACATGCACTCAGTTACAGACAGAATGAGTTTTAACCTTGTCAGGAGAGAATGGTGTTCTCTGCAGTCTATCTGTAACACTATCTCATTCTATCTATGGAAAAGCCAAATGCTCTCCTCTTATCTTGACACATTTTTTTTCCCCCCAAATTCACAAATATACGAGGTCACTTCTGGATATATTCAGAAATACTCTCCATCCAAAGGCTTGTGACATACATGACCATGGAAGGACACGCGCCTACTCGCAAATAAAAGCACAAATACACAAGACCGAGCAGTTGCCCAGCATCCTCAGAGCATTAGACCCCTGTTAATCCCACTGCGGTCTTCGGTTCAATGCAGCCGCATCTATCGGTCACAGGCCAGCACACTCCTTGTTCTCCAGCACTCTGTTTTAATTACTTTTCTCTGTTTTCTTTCCCCCTAAGTCTTCCTCGATCCCTTCCCGTTCCTCTGTTTTCCTGCGATTACACAGGAGAAGGCAGCCACAGAAGGGGTGGGGGAGTGGGACAACAAGCCAGAGAGAGATGAGTGAAGAGAGGTGTTTTCATTGGCAGCGTCAAGGGGTTTTAAAGGTCAATTCTATAATGACTGATATAATAATTAAGTTCATTAGTGAGTGATTGTCATCTCATTGACACACATGAACATTCTGCAGTCAGCTGCATTTAAACAGCTGTGTTTGTGATGTGTCCCTTTATTTTTATTTTTCATTGAAACCAATTTACACGACTGCTGCTTTTTACCACCCTGACACAAAGACCGGCAGGCAGAGACATGCTGATGAATCGATATAGTGAGGATTACAATGTCAGTCACAGTCTTGCTAAGTGTACACGTCCAGGAAGGTTATTTACATGGGAAACACTTAAACATCCTGCTTTATTGGGCACTTAAACAAACTAATCTGTGGAGCTGGCTTGTATTTTGTTATTTTCACAAAGGAAAATAATGAAATGGCCACCCACAAAATAGCTAATTTCATGCTAATTTGGCATAGTCATAACTATTACAGATGCTCCCTCTGGGTTCAAATGCATAATGCACACATAGAAGAGCTTACATAGGCCTTCCCTCATAGAGAGAAACCAATTACCCTGATATTGGATGGAAAATCCTTCAATTCAGACATTTTTTATTGAAGATGGTGTATTATTGTTTTCTACTGATACTTATATACTTGTATGACGTTCAACAAACAATCGCAGTTTCGTTTTCAGTGCATCTGTCTTCTTTAATGATAAATCATATATTTTATTTGACAGGCTTTAGCGAGGCACAGCACCTTGTTTCACTATCTTTTTCATTTGAAAAGAAGTTTATCCTGGCTAGCATAGCCATACATCAAATATTGATGTACTGCGTGTCTGCAGTCTCACACACACTGGCACTTTGAGTAGATTCAGCCTTTAATCCCATTGTTTCTAGTGCACTATACTTGACATATACACACTTTCCCCATTAGTGTTGTCATTAATCCTGCATGATTTTGTTGTTTTAGTCAGGTTAAAATCTTCCAGTTGCCAAAAGACAGACTCCCTCACCTGAAATGTTTTTCCAAATGGCTTACACCTCCACAAATGTGCATGTGTCAATGTCATTCATCTGCACCGTTAGACTGTGCGTGTGCACGTGCGTGCGTGGCTGCCTTACATGTGCTGGATGTAATATGAACAGAAGGGAAGGATAATAACAAGACATGTAATCCTTTCATCTTCACACATCAATCGTCTGTTTCCAAACTGTCGGACACACACACACACACACACACACACACACACACACACACACACA